AAGAAATTGTCCTCTCAGGCCAAAAATTGAAATATCCCAAAATCAGTGAAGGGTGGGATGTTATTGCAACTGATCACCCGTAGAAATGAAAGCGAAAAAATGTCAATACAACAGACCATAAACAATTGTGGGGTTTAACATTTACATTGCTAAGTGGCATTATAACTTCACGCCTTCTTCGGCGATTAACTGCAAGTCCGAGCGATGTCTGAGCAGTTCCAATGCTCGGTCGCGTTCCACCGTCGATGCATCAAACGGTTCCAGCAATGAGGGTGTCATGTCATCTGTTGTTCTCTTCAACTCTTCGTAAAGCAGGATCGCTGTTCCAGTTGACTGAGAGAGTATTTTCAAGCACGAGATAACTTCCACAAACTTCTGCAAACATTATTTTTTGGTAAATTACTTCTCGACACTCTGTTTTTATTAGGCCTATCCGCATGTGCTATTAGGGCCTGAAACAGTTGGGAAGTAGCCCCAGCAGAAGTAATAACTGTCCGCAAGCAAAGTTCCTGATACAGGCCGTTATCGAGATTTAGCTGATGTTGCATCTGACCTTCTGGCACAAGTCAATGCGGATTTTTCATCGGGGAGAATGCCTGCTAGCGGACTGCTGCTGCTGCTGGCATGTGCGACCACTTGGGCTATTTCCCAACTGCCTTCGTCTCTCACAAAAGAGCTAAAATGGAGAGAGTTTTGTCTTTGGTTTATAATGGTGCCGCATGCCAGTAAACTAAGCTCACCAACAAATTTCACTATAAAAGCACAAAAATAATTCAAAAAAATAAGTCTTTTAAAAGCATTATTGGGGTCTCAAAAAACAAAAAAAAAAAAATCTGAATATGCGTTACTTGAATCAACCCAGGCTGGAACGCAGAGGCGGGCCGGTGCGATTATGCGTTTTTGCACTTTTCGTGCCGTAGCAAGATCGCAAGGAATCAAATTAGCTAACCCTGTGCTGCGATTATGCGTTTTTGCACTTTTCGTACCGTAGCAAGATCGCAAGGAGTCAATGTAGCTAACCCTATGATGCGTTTTTGCACTTTTCGTGCCGTAGCAAGATCGCAAGGAATCAAAGTAGCTAACCCTGTGAAATGCTGGCCCTCGAAGTTCGGGAAGCTAATTGTCAACTGTATGGTAAGTCAATTGTAGGTGTCGGCTTCAGTGACCCGACAAATGGAAAGTTGCTGGTCCGCAAAAAAAGGCCACACTAGAAGAGTTAAGTTTAAAATCTTTTAGTCGCACATGAACAGGAAACATTCCCTTAAAATTAAAGCCTTCAGCTTTTCCCGTTTCTGAGTTAGCAGTTTCCCTATCAAAATTTTCACGTGTCCATACGTGAGTACCGGAGGGTTTTAAGGAGCTGAATTTAAAATCTTTTAGTCATACATGAATAGGGAACACTCCCCGAAAGTTTCAGCTTTCTAGCTTTTCCCGTTCTCGGGTTAGTGATTTTTGCGCTAGAATTTTCACGTGCCCGTACGTGAGCCCCTGGCGATCCTAAGGAGCCGAGTTTGGAAAGTTTTGGTCGTGCATAAGCATGGAACAATCCCTCAAAGCTTCAACTTTCTAGCTTTTCTCATTCCCGAGTTATAAATTTTCCCGCCATAATTTCACGTGCCCGTACGTAAGCCCCGGGCACTCCTGGGCAGCTGAATTTGAAACCTTTTTGTCACACACAGATAGGGAACATTCTCCCAAGGTTTCAGCTTTCTAGCTTTTCTCGTTCCCGAGTTAGTGATTTTCGCGCTAAAACTTCCACGTGCTTGTACGCGGAGCCCAGACGCGCGTGAGGACTGAAACCGTGGTCCTGGAGTGGTACCTGGCTGGGGGACGCACTGGCGAAATTTCAGCTTCAAAGCTTGCGTGGTTAGCGAGTTGAAATACTCGGACAGACGAACACACACGCACATACAAACAT